AATAAAATGAAATTAATTATAATAAATTGTATATGTATTTCATTATATATATATGCGGAGCTATGTTAAGTGTGCTTTATTATTATTATTTCCTACGTGTAACAATCGTGAGAATCTTTTGAAGAACTTTTTAAATGATTTGTGCAAGAGTCCAAGGACTCTGATTTAGTACATTGAATTCTCCTATGGTATGAAAAAAAATTGGTCGATTTCTGCCGTCCTGATTTTTTCTTCTGATACTGTGAAATATCCTTACAATGAACTAAGTGCTAATTTAAAAAAGATAATCAATCAATCAATTCACGCTTGACTAAATATTTACTATGCTAAAATATTATAGTTCCCAAAAAGAAAACCTAATGGTTCCTAAGACAGTATCCCTGTATCTCCTATGGTTTCGTATTTCTCCACATTATCCCAGTTAAAAAAAACACTGTATACTTCAATAAATAATTTTCGCTAGTTGTCATACAAAAGATATCAACGTCCTCAAAAGATAATATAAAACAAAAAAGTTACTTTAAAAATCCCAACAGTTCAATAAAATTTAAATTAACAAGGTTTCATTCAGATTGAAATTTTAAAAGTATAGAAAAGTCAATTCGGGTAGTGCCCTCAGATTTCATTTGGTTACTCCGGTTACTCTAATTGAAGGGATTTCCACCAATTTATGTTTTAAAATTGTGTTTGACTTAAGTCACAATATAATTTTATATGTTTCTGTTCGATAATCGATAAATAAAATAAAAAAATTAATTTAATTTTGTGATACACAAGTTTGTCGCTAATTTCGGTTTAGGACTCCTTGAAAACTAGTGCGACAGCATAATTAACGACATTCAGGTTCGTTATACGTACGCATACTCGATGTACGTACGCCATAGCCGCACAAATGACAGCACGAATTGTAATAGTCGTTATATTTTGTTTATTGCTATTTGTCTCTTTGTTTAATGTATTTTTTTGTTTGTGATTTTAATTCTTTTTAATTTCATTTGTTTGTCTAAGTGTTATGAATTTCTTTTTCGTATCTTCGTGTTGTGGTCTTACAATACATGTTTTTCTATTCTATAGGCGATCGTAGGACAGGACTCAAATGACGTAGATTTTATTGTACGGGAACCATACTCCGTAAAATGTAGCTTGACTAAAACGACACAATATGTCAAACTTCAGTAATGGACACAATCACCAAAATCGAGATTCGATGTTAAATATATCGACTGATCTGTGACAAATTTAAATCCGTGTTATAACTAGTGATATGATAAGCGAGCGCATATTTACTTAAACTACACTATTGTCTCCACGAAAAAATAATATGGATATGCCTTTTACAATTTATTAACATTCCGTCGTTTGAATTCGTCCCACGAAATAAAAATAATAATATCGCACATACTCAAAATAGCCCCGCACTAGGGAAATCCTGTGTCGCGGGTGTCATGGACACACACATAGACAAACACAAATTACACCCAAACTCACGAGAGAAATAAATGTAGGCCATACAAATATGTAGGAAATAATGTAGGAATCAAACCTGGGATCTCTGCGTGGCAGTCCGGCATGGTAACCATTCGGCCACAGAGGCAGTTAAAGAAAAGGGTTTAACCTTATTATTTATAAAAGTGATATTATACTTATGAAAATTATCTGAATTGATAGAATATATGAAATGATTGTTATACTAATATTTTATCAAACGAGAATTGTATGAAATTAAGTTGTAGGAAATGAATTTAATCTAACTCAAAATTATATTGAATTTGCGGTATATCCTTTGAAATTACTTCATTGTTAATTTAAAATAAGTGAGGTGCACTCATTTTGGATGTGTAATCATTTATAACCTTAGACCTCTGCGTGGCAGTCCGGCATGGTAACCGTTCGGCCACTGAGGCAGTTAAATTCTAGAAAAAAAAATCACTTCATATAATGAACGTTTAATGTAAACTTGCTTTATATAATTTAAATTTTTATACCGACCACTTACACTAACACTCATTTTTAATAACGTTCATAAATTATATACCACACTTAAAATAACGTCATTTTATTTAAATTTCATATCATCTAGAAATAGGATTATTTCCGAAAAACGGTATTCCTAATACTAATATTATATTAATTATAATTTGGCCTGAAAACATGTTCGGAAACGTAAACAAATCCGTTTCTGGCAATTAATAATATAAATATAAAATTAATAATAATTTTGTCGAAATAAAAATTCAGCATTGTAAACTATATTAAGGAAAACAACTCTCCCCGCACCACCGGATTTTAATATGAGGTTTACAATTTTTTTTTTAATAAAATGTGAATGTTATATCAAACAAGAATTATATTATAGAAAATGAATTTGGTCCAAATAAAAATTATATTAAATGGTATTTGTTTTGAAATTAATTTATTTAATTTTCATATAAGTGAGGCGCATACTTCAAAATGGCCACCGTAAAATATAACGATATTGTTCTATTTATTTTTGATTCAGTTCTGGGATCGTTTTTGTTATTTGTTTTTATTAATATTCTTAAGCATTTTATTTTTATTCAAATTAGTTTTATGCCATGATCTTGTTTTATGTAACAATAGGGATAACAAAAATGACGCTAGTCGAACTTTCAAAAACAACCATGAAATAACATTCATGTCTATGTCCCGTAAGACTGGATAGTCCGTCGATACTGCCAGATCCACTCAGCCATTTGCCACTCTCGTGTAAAGCTCGAACGCTATATTAGGGAATTAAAAAAACAAGAAAAAACCGTGCCGTTACCAGTGCTACTATATCGTATTTACGATAACACACGGGCCGTACAATGGACTAACTAAGTACTAACTAATTAAGTAACTTTTTGAAACTATGTTAGGCGAATCTTGGACGGGCTCCAATGCGGAAAAGAGACAATTTAGACACTTGTTTAAGTAGTTATTACAAACATACCTGTTAGAAGATTATCTTTAAAACAATACCTTCCTACACAGATAATGTATATTGTAAAGATATATGTTCAAATTTACAATTTAGCTTTCCTGTAAATCTCTGTTTATCTTTCGCAGACTGGCAGCGAAATTATGTATGCATGATACTTTGGAGCGCTGCATTGGGGTACAACAGAATTTAGGAATTCACTCGGAGTAGCTTTAAAACAATAGGGAATACCTACATAATGCAGGTGCTGAAGCTTTCATATGCGGGGAAACTTTACAGCCCTCCACTATGCGCTTAGTTCAATAATCCACCCTTCCTCTGTAACACATTTTCACCTTAATTAAACACAATTATTTTGATGATTTCAAACATATTGATGCGCTTACTTAATAATAGTAACTACTTATTATATTTTCTAAGCGCATTCTGTTTCTTTTACGGTAATGTTTGATTACGTATTGAAGTTTCCATTTTGTAATAAAACTACATTGCAATTTCACTAGTTGCAAATGTATAAAAGAAATTCAAGACAGTTTCATACAGTAAACATTGTAAGGTATCTAAATTATAGCAAATATGAAAGCAAAAATTCACATTGTGATAAGTTCTACATTATTGGCTCGTTACTCAATAAACAAATAAATGGAAGGAAGTCAAAGCATTTGCGATATTGAATGGGCGTTATTTCATTTCGCAGAATTGAAATATAAGTACCAGCAACTTGCGTGAAGGACTTTATTAGAATGAACTTATCAGCCAACAACGAAAACAGCAAACGAGTTAAACCAAATACAATCAGTGGTACACAAAGGCGCGTTGGGCTAATCTTATTGTGGGTGAGCGAGGACAAAAGCCTCGATACGAAAGCGGTGGGTGTGATATAAGGAACAGGAGCTAGCAGTCCGTAGTTCGGAGCCCCGGAGTCTGGCAGTGGCAGCGGCCATATTTGCCGCTCGAGTGCCGCCAAATGGGCGGGCGACGGGTGGACGAGTGCGAAAACCCCGTCACTCGTTCCCTAAAAGTTAATGGGGCTTTTTGTCGAGCTACCGACCGACTCTTGTAATGCAATTAACTTCGACAAAGGCGCTATCGTTAACGAATTAATTTTAAAGCGCTATGTGATATGGAATCTTTAGAGAGTTTTTGCAGGTGTTGTGGCTATTAATGCTGATCTTCTTTTTCATAATATTGAAGAATGGAGAAGAGAGCTTTTGTTTGTCATGTAGTATTCAAGATATGTATAACTAAAGAAAAGTATAATACATAAAACATCCAAGTGTAAATGTGTCTAATATTTCGCAAATTGGGCAGCAAGTCTTCTACTGAAAACTTTAAATTTCAAATGGGCCTGATAAATATGATAAATTGATAAACTTATAATGAACTTTATTGTAAAGTTCATTATAAGTTTATCAATACGCTATCACAACTTTATAGTTATGTACTTCAGGCTATATTTTTCAACTACAAGTTTATGTAACTACAAATAATTGGAATAGACAATTTTTATGAATGAGGAATGGATTAGAGAGGCCACCGCTGCGCCGTGTTGTGACGGCGAGTTGCCACAATGGCGACCACCCGCAGCCGGGCGCTCCCATGCCGGCACTTGTGCGTGCCCACTCGTCTGGAAGCACCGCCAACAATCAACAAACTAGACAACTACCTAGAATTCCACGCCAATCCATGATTTCTAACAAAAAATTGGTTACAAAACTTTCGTATCTCTTCAAGCAACTGGTTCAGTAGCTCCATCTCGAAATTAGGTCGCTCCAATTGTCCGTAAATACCATGCCGTTTTATAAGACTGCATTGATCGGCTTTACAAAACGAACTGTTTTGAATTTTATCATCAAAATTTTAGTTTTTTTTTTTTTGAATTGGAATTTCGCACATGAGGTCGTGTTTTGAATATTTTCTATTTGTGTTTGTATAAAGGACGTCATATTTGTAAAGTAGAATATAAATGTTTAAATGAAATGCATTTTCGTTTTCTATTATTTTTTCAAGCATGTTCTGAAGTTATAAGAAATATATTCATAAGCAAAAATGTTTACAGGTATGGTTCAAGAACCGTCGTGCAAAGTGGCGTAAGCAGAAACGTGAAGAACAGGAGCGACTCCGTAAGCTACAGGAAGAGAGAGCGTGTGGTCGGGCACCACTGGTTTCACGATCTGCGCCCGCCCTGTCTCCAACACCGCACCATTTGCCAGCACCGCCTACGCCGCGTCAGTATTCTGACGATTCAGATTCAGAAGTTGAAGTGGCTTGAATTAATTAATAATGTAAAGAAAACTTTGAAAAGTGATCTCTTACCATTAGGTAAGGTTGTTTGGGAGTCGCGATAGTAAAAAGAAGAAATTTTTGACAAATATTTACTTTTTGGTAACTGCTTACCGAAAATAATAATGTTAAGTCATGTGTTGTCACGTTGCATTTACAACAGTGCTGATGTCTAAGTGTTGAAAAGACGAATACTACATGTTTGTCCACTTGATAAGTAAATAAATATCTTTGTGCTTAGGAGATATTTTCGGAAACATAATTTTTAGACTGGATGGTAGTAACGGTAAAGTAAGGTGAAATTAGGAACAAAAATTTGCTACTTAGCCAAACAGCGTTATGGTGTAAAATATTATTATCCGCAATTAATGTTAGATAGTATATAGTAATTTATCTTCTATGTATCTATATTGATGTAGTAGTACCTAAGAACAATTTTAATAAATACCCGTAGATTGTAGAGCTTAAACATAATAATATGTAATACTAATGTTCCCTTCTTGTATTAACTACATTGTTGGTTGCAATAATTTGCACGTCATGTACCCAATATAAACATGACTAATTTAAACGATTTCAGTTATTTATCGGAATCTCAACAATTACTATAACGTATATCTCTGTTTTTTTTACGATTTCTTTATGTATTGTAGTATTTTCTTGTCTAATAGAACTTTCTGTCAATGTATATCTAAACCATACGTAACATACTTACAAGTTGTAATAGCAATGAGGGAAATGACGTAAAATAATTCAACATAACAATGCAGTTTTATTCGTCTATTGGGTGTTCCAACCAGTGAATGAAAGAAATAACCTTACTGGCGTTTCAAGGCGGTGCAAAATTGAACATATAAATAAAGAGCATAGAAATAAAAAAATCGATAACGATGACATAAAAACACGTTATATATTGTATAAAAAGGTAAGGTTGCGTTAGTCGTGGGGTACGATTCACATTTCTCCCAACACGAACGTCGGCCGGCCACTGGTTTGTTTTTGTTAACTTGCTTAACTTAATAGTTCAAATTTATATTACTAGATATTACTTCCTACGCATGTGAGACCAAATATGGCTGGAGTATGACTTAGGCGGTGGTACGACTAACGCAACCTTTTCCTATACTTCATTTCAAAAGTGACGACTTAGGGCCATAAATAAGGCCAGCGCAAACCGGCGGAAGGCGGGGAAGGGTACCGAAGAGGATTATGCCCGGCAGCAGATGAGGGATATCCATTACGATACTGTGAGCATCCGCCAGTGTACCGCAGAGTTGGGTGGAATTCCGCGGCATCCGCCGACACGCTGTCGTTCGGATTTGATTCTGTTCCATCAGCGACTACGCAGTCGAAAAATCCCCGGCGCATTCAGGCAGGCTCATCCAGTGGTTCCCGGCATATGGTGGTGGATTCCGTCGCATACCGCCGCCCCGCTCTAGAGTTCTCTACAATGTCGCAGAGAGATAAGCGTCACGATATTCTGAGGTCTAAGAGCATTAAAATTTAAACCTTACTTCAATTAGGAAATGAAACTATTTATCAGGATTTAAATCGCGAATATTTGTTATATAGTTATAACAGAAAATGTAAATTGATAAATTTAATGTCCTCTGCCTTCCCGACCTCCGGTTTCCGCTGGCCCTTACAAAAAATTTCAACGGACACAACATTTTACCATAAGCGATTTTTTTCTGAAGTACAGCTATACATAGGGCGCACTATAAGTTTCCGGAACTGGCCACTTACATAAACTATATTTAAAAAGTAATTACAACATTTGAAAATGTTACTCTTTGGCTGTAGAATGCTGTTTGTTTCATCTGACTGTCACTTGTTTTTATATTGTGGCGTCATTTTAGAAATTGGTTGTCTACATCACTTTGGATTTAATTCGTGAAAATTTTCGTAGTATGATTTTCTAAGCACCATGCAAGACGACTATTTATATGAATAGAATAGATAGAATAGAATGCAAACGCGGTCGTGTGAATCTCAGTGACGAATTTCGTGATGGTCGCCCGTCCACTGCTGTGAACAACAAAAACATCGATACTGTGCGCCGTATGGTCAAAACAGATAGGCATGTGACATACCATGAGATTCGGCCATCTTTAGGCATAGGCATGAGTCAAATACAATCAATACTATACAAACATTTGGGTGTGAAAAAGCTGTGCTCACAGTGGATCCCACACAATTTGACTGAAGCTCAAAAAACGGATTGGTCACTTGGTGCAATGCCATGCTTACCAGATTCAACGAAGGGACGTCAAATTTGGTGTGGGACATAGTAGCGGGTGACGAAACATGGATTTATAGTTACGATCCCAAAACAAAGCAGCAAAACAAACCAACCAAAGTGGCGCGCGTGCAAAGTGCCTCTAAGCGGATGATTGCTTCTTTTTTTAATAAAACTGGGCACGTGGCTATTGTTGCTTTGGAGAATCGTTGTACCGTGGATAGTGATTGGTACACGATAATTTGTTTGCCGGAAGTTATTGACAAACTCAGTAAAAATAACCGTAAACGCCGTATCATCTTGCACCACACGGCCAGACACAAATGAATTTTTGAAGGTGAACAACGTTGACCTTATAAACCATCCCGCGTAACGTCCCGTCCTGGCACCTTGTGACTTTTATTTATTTCCAAAAATTAAGAACCAGGAGGCTGACGAAGAGTATGAAAAGTATTTTAAATTTTTATTGAATTGATATTCAATTATTTTTTGTGAAATTACTCCACTAGTTTTTTGTAATCATTAATACAGAGATCGGACACTCAGAAAAAATCCTTCGATCCGGTCGGATTCGAACCGACGTCTTCTTGCATACCGTGCCAGACGCTATACCAACTAAACCACGGAACGAACCAACGGACCCAACGAATTTTTCTATATGCTTGCGTCGCTTTGTATTTGGTTTTTCAACGACTTTTTAGTCGTAGCGCCATCTATGAGAAATCTATGATAGATTTATCACCCAGTTAGTACCTTTACAGCTACTAGTCCTGGCGAGAGATGTCGCTATTCACTGTATTTTAAATTTTTATTGAATAGATATTCAATTATTTTTTGTGAAATTACTCCACTAGTTTGTTGTAATCATTAATACAAAGATCGGACACTCCATTGACTTACAAATAAATGGACGACGGGTCTAATACAAAAACCACGAAAAAATGTCCCAAGTCAACCTATTCGAAATTTAAATTGTTATGTCATCGCAGTATCGCGCTGTCCGTAGAACAAATGAAGACTAAAGCGGAGTGTCGCGCTCTGTATACGATTTTAGCGCCTTACAAGTGCGGACACTTTTTAGCGCGGACCCGACGTCCATATAATTGTAAGTCAATGGGACACTCAGAAAAAATTCCTTCGATCCGGTCGGATTCGAACCGACCAAAAATATATGAAAAATATATGTTTCAGAGATTGTCACGGAGAAGTGGCATAAATGTTTTCAAAATTGGTTCATTCGTATGAAAAAGTGCATTAACGCTAGACATGAGCGCCAATAACAGACCAAACGGCGGCGCGAGCGCAACCCTAAAACGAGTTTGTATTTTGGTATTTGTTTTTACAAAAACCGTTATACAAATACTTTTTCAAAGGAAAAAATAAAATAACGTATTGTCTATAATAGTAATAAAGTTTTTATCAGTTCGATCAGGCGCTCCGATCGTACGCACGCGCACGATTCCATATTGTGAATGCGTAGTGAAAATGGCAACGCCAGAAGTTGACAAAATAAGTTTTTAAACAAAACATCTTTAAATATAAACTCACTAACTACCTTTTGTCGCCTATCTATGTCACCTCTGCTGAGGCCGGACGGCTCGCTGGCCTACATTGCAGAAGACAAGGCAAATCTTTTTGCGTCACTCTTTGTAAAGAGTTTGCGTCTGGATGTAATCTTACTTCAGGCTGCCTGCATTATGGCGCCAATTCCCATACGCCATAAAAACTAGATCTCTGCGGAATCTAGATGTGAATAAAGAAAGCGGGCCAGATGGAATTACAGCACTAGTCCTACGTAACTGTGCGCCTGAGTTGTCTCCTGTTCTCACACGCCTACGCCTATACCGCCTCTCTCTTGAGATTGGTGTAGTTCCCAGGTCGTGGAAGCTTGCAAACGTGCAACCTGTGCCGAAAATGGGAAGCAGAGCTGACTCTGTCAACTATAGATCTATCTCAGTCACTTCCATACTCTGCAAGACTATGGAATTTATACTCAACAACCGTCTCTTGTCGTATCTTGAAGACAACGACCTCCTCAGTGATCGCCAGTACGGATTCCGAAGAGGGCGATCAACTGGGAATCATCTTGTGTATGCCTGTCACATATGGAGCAAGGCTATAGAAAAGCAAGGTGAAACACTTGGAGTGTCTTTGGATATCCCTAAAGCCTTTGACAGGATCTGGCACGCAACGTACGGCAAATCTTTTAAGTAAGATTCCTTTTTATGGGCTTCCCACTTTGCAATTGGATCTCGGATTTCTTGAGCGAACATTCGATTCGAGAGGTCTTAGAAGGCAACTCTTCGGAACATATGGCGATAGATTCCTCAGGGTTCTGTACTGTCTGCAACTCTCTTTCTACTGCGTATCAATGATATGTTAATTCCAGGTACCTTTGCGTATACTGATGACAACACAGTTGTAGATAGGTAGACAGTTACCGCTACCAAACGCAGGCGTGTCTATTCTCCACAAAACAGAGTTCCATTGAGCTGACTCCGACTTTTCGTGATATATCCATACCGATAGCCGACTGTCTCCAGCTACTTGGAATGGACCTGTCGTCCAATTTGTACTTCGGCAGATACGTTGAGTACAAGACCAAACATACAGCAAGGAAGCTTGGGATCCTTTCCAGGGTGAGGCGTTACTTCACACCGGAACAAGCACCATATCTTTCTACGTTAGTTTTGATTATAGTGACCCTCCCTACCTAACCTTATACGGGTATACGAGAAGGAAACTATAAC